AAAGAAGCAAAAAGCCTGCATAACATCAATGGAATCCCTGATAGCCAATACTGAATTATTTACAGCCTAATTGTGCAAGTGATACTCATGAGATCACTTAGGCTGCAAGATGCAATTAATACATTTTTGCAAAACTGGTGACTTCTGCTTCAGCCTTTGTTTTGATGCATCCGTGAATCCCTAAAAAACAGGTGAGGTCATTTTGGAGGAGAAGAGCTAGAATATCAGCACACGCTTGAAATATCCACAGACTTTTCTCAGAGTGCTGCTGTGAAATAGGAAAGGGCTCTCAAACCACCAACTAGCTGCCTGAAGATAAGGATCTGGAGCCATTTCAGATGCTCAGATGAATCTCATCTGGCTGCTAGCTGTTGCTCCAGAAGGGCACTGATCTCCCCTAGCTCCTGTGTTACAACTGAAAGTCTCAGGCAAATGCCCTGGATACCGAGGCATCTCAGATGGCATTAAAGACAGACATGGAAGACACAGAACTGACTCCATGTGACCGCTGGCCTCAGCAGACCTCCCAGCACAGGGAGCAGTGACCAAGAACTGCAACACTCCCTGCGCCGCAGCACTCTTCATCTCCTTTTTACTGTAACGCTTGCTGCGCAGCTGTAACGCAGGACTTCATACAGGCACGAAAGGTCCTCCTTTCTCCCGACCTACAGCAGGTAGAGCAGATTGGCCACTGCACCCTAACTCACAGAACTTGGATTTCCAGACACAGAGCTTTTCTGTCCAGTCCCAGGTACACAGGTTGATGTGGCACTTGCCACAGGGGCTTGGATATTACTCTAATGCCAGACTTCTCTCAAGCCCTCTCTCTCTCCCTCATTAGTAAATACATATCTGAACCCTGACATCTGGAGTAGTCCACAAGTTGTGTCTCTTAAAACACTCTTATATTCTGCATTCCTTGTTACGTTCTACCCTTAGCAGAGCTTGGGGGGGATTGCCTCCTTCCCAAGCACTTCAGCAGCATTTAGTGACCACCCCTTGAAACCACTGGAGCCAAACAAGGCTCTGGGCCCTGGGTTTTGGCCTTAGGAAGGTAACAAGCCAAAAAAAAAAGGAAAAGTCTGAGCCAGTATTACAATGCTGTCCTCTCTGTTCCTAATAATGCTCATTTCCTCTCCAGACTAGACACATTGTGTATGTCTAAAACCCTCAGCCCATCCCAATTTACAAATTCGAGTACAGCTGTGGGTTTAAACAGCCAGCCAAAATTAATTATGACTGATTAAGGAACAGAGCAACATACTGCAGTGGCCTCTTGTTAAACTGAAACATCTGATGCAAACCAAGCAATCTCAGCCCCTCCTTAAGCTCCTGCTTGTCTTGTTCACCATCTCTGGTGTTTTTCTGCTGAGCATCATCACCTGAAGATGGTTTACTCAGAGGTACCCAGACTGTTATGGAGCAGTTTTGCTAGCCATAGCCCTGGCCTTGGCTGAGACAGCCAACAAAGCAGGTTTGCAGGTAGCCCACCCCCTGCAGGCCTGAACAGTTGGGGGATTTTTTGGTTGTTTTTTATTGTTTTCAGGCTTTTCTTCCATTTAGAGTTGGCAGGCAGAAAGGGATAATTAAATACTCTGCTCATGCCAGGGGAAAATATTTATTTTAGCCAGGTACTTTTCCTTCTCTTCCTTCCCATCTCCCAATTTTCCTTAAAGAAGAGAGAAAGGTAGACAGAGAGAGAGATAACTTTGCTTGTACAATAAATGCCCTATGTCTCAATAGCCAGTCAGAAAACAAGCTAGTGCCGTTACTCCCGCTTTATAGGCAGAAGGACCTGAGGGAGGAGAGCGCAATGTGATTTACCTGAAGGCAGCGGTACAGCTGGGATGAGATCCCAGGCTGGGGAGGTGAACTACGCCTTTAAAAAGCCCAAACTCATGTAGCTTAAGAATTTTTTTTGTTGTTTTACAAGTATTATTCAGTGTCTAAACTGAAAAAGGGAGGCCATTTTGTTATCAAATACAAGTGAATCTGCAATGATTTACTCCTCTTCTCTTTTCATTTTGTGTCTATTGAAAACAAGGTAAGGCTGTGGCCAGCTTTCCTTTCTAAATTCCCGTTTAGCAGAAGAGGAACCAGATTGCTCCGATTTACCCAGGGGCTGAAGATGATGTTCAGTCACTCGGACCATCAGCTTTTTGGAAAATGAGCCCCAGGCGCACCCTTACAGGATCCAGCTCCAGACTGTCCATGACCACAGCCAGGGTCCCTTTCCATCGGAAGCTCCATAGAAAAAAGTCAGCCACCCACCAGCACGGCTGGCGCTTTCTGCAGAGCAAGTACCAGCAATTGGTGTCTCACGAGCCAGGTCTGTAGGTGCTGCGTATAGGAGGGAAGGTGCTCTCGGTTTGCTAACAGCCCTGAATATGAAAGGGTGAGTTAGATGGCAATAGGCTTTGTATTTTGAGCACCCTAGACTTGTTGGAGATGCGATCCCTGTTGGAAAACACTCCTTGCTATAAACAAGTTGATGAACATAGAAGAAAATGGGTATGCTTTCCCTGTTTTCCACTACCCATATTCAGTTGTTAATCTGCTCCTTTGCCCTCCTCCCCCCATTATTCTGCAATAGCTGTTAGTTGCTAAAGAAGCTGAAGAAACAATTAAGATACTTCAGAAACAGCAGATAATTTCTCACACACGGTGCTCAGTATCGAGCAGATGTGACTCAAGATACACACATGCTGTTTTCAGGCAACTATTCCCAAGGGTTTAGATAAAAATAATAAGGATGAGGGGTTTCAGCAGAAATTGGGTTATTTTTAAGTAGAAAAGTTCTAGGGAGTATTAGCAGGGCTCCCTGGAAATGCCATCATCTTCTTGTGTGGGGGATCCCATAGCATCAGTTGTGTATAATTAAAAAAAATTAAGCCAGTAGTCACACTAGACAGAGATTCTGGCAGGAAAGTGGTAATGGGGGTTACAGCAAATTGGGTTGGTTGCACATTATCAGATGCCTCCTGACTTACCAGAGGTTTTCAAGGCAGAACAAATGAGATGCTACAAGGAGCTCTTCACCCCCAAAAGACAGTAGCAAGTCTCAAGAGCCAGGATTTGACCCGCATGGTTTCGGTCACCAGAGTTCAAGCAACAAGGAAACACTACCGCAGGAGAAACGCTGCGATGGCCTGGAGCCAGATCTCAGTTGACACAGGGTGTTGCAACTTTACTGAAGCGTATGGCCCACATCCAATGCAAAAGTCCATGAGAAGATATTTCTTCCCAATATCCCCCTCCTTAATCCAGCCCCAGCATCTGCCATCACACAAAAGAGGACGGAGGTAGTGGGGCCAGCGTTACGCTAAGCAGCTTGCTGAGCCAGCCACAGACAGTTGCCATCTTCTGGCTGTGACGGAGTCTGGACAGATCAGGAAATGTTTTCATTAGCCTCACTCACCTGAAAAATCAGCAGCCAACTCCCATTTCACAAGGTGGCCTGGCAAAGAGTCAAGAAACGATATTCAACGGCAAACAGATTGCAAAGACAAACACAAACAACTTAAGTCTGTGATGATCCACCATCTTGAGCAGATCTTCAATATCCAAGACCAGGATTTTCTGCACTCAGACACATAAATCTCAGGCATTCATACTCTGCCAATATTTTAACTTGTGCCCACAGAGCATATTTGAATAGGATTCAAGCTGATGAAAAGCAAGTTGTTACTTTTAAAGGGGTTTGGTCACCTTGTGAATGGAGCTGAAGGCTTCAGTCCAGCAGATGCCAATGCATTAAACTAAAGAAAAAATTGCCACCGCAGTTCTTAGCTTCAGCGAAGGTGTGAGAGAAAATGCGGCCCCTCCAGGATGTGCACAACTGTATTTCTGGTGTCACAGATGGCAGCTTGAATGGCTGCAGGTTTTTTTGCCTTGCCTTTTCATAAGGCATAAAGACTTTTAGTCGCCACTGTTTTCAGGGAGAATTTTTAGATACAGTAAGCTTATGAAGAGACACATCCCACTTGAGTCATTTTCAAAACACCTCTTCCTTTCAAGTCACCAACTCTCAGCAAATGGAGGAGAAGAAGAAATGAAGAAACTTTGAGCCAAAGCCCATAAACAGATTCTTTTTGTGTGTGTGTGTGCGCAAGATGAGCCTGGGAAAAGCAAAACAATTCATCTACCCAAGAGTGGCTTTGCAGGGAAAGGTTAAGGAATAATAAAGAGGGATTTAGATCGCACCACTTTACACACATTTATGAGGGAGAAATTCAACACCCAGATAACAAATTCAGTTCAGGTTTTACTTCCTCTCTCCCTTCCTCCCCCCCTTAAGGATGACATACCCTTCCATTTGTAAATTACTTTAATTTAAATACTTCCAGGTTAGCAAAACGTCTTAAATTTGACATGCCCCAAACTACAAAACAGAAACAAAACCTCTTCACAAAGGGTAAGAAAAAAGAAATAATCCAAGCCCAAACCTCCTCTCCTAAGCTGGAGTTTATGGTCTGTGAGCTGGCTGCCCTCCAGAGTCTGACACAGTGTCTGGAGCACCCAGAGCAGCTGGAATTCATTTTCTTCCTCCAAATCTATGCACTTTCATATGAAGTCGTGTTTTGGCACTGCCGCGTAAGAGAGAGTTCAGTGCAAAAAATCTAACCCCGGCCGTGTTTCTTTGCAACCCAACACTCGCTGAGCAAACAGCGAAAAAGGAGAAGAGAACAACAAAAAAAAAAAAAAAAGGGAAAGAAAAAAAAAGCTTTTTCCCTCCCCCCCCCCATACCAAGAC